GTTTTTAGTTACCTATCTATATGATGACACACGTGTACGTTCTCAAGGACCAATACTATGATGTAAAGATTCTAATCCAATTTACAAAATAATATTTGATGATATTAAAAAAATAGCTGGCTGTCGTCCAAATTTTAACTGATTTTCTACTCTCCATTTGCCATAGGATTCAGCAGTGCAGCCGTCTTTGGTAATAGTTTACTTTGGTGGAAACGACTCCATTGCTGCTCATTCTTCTGGACTCGGGCCTCATGTGCCGCTAGATGAGTACATAGGGAACATGAGAAAGATTGCAGAACACCTAAAGGTAGAGCGTTGATTAGCAAGATGTTCCTGGAATGGTGGTGCACCAGTAGCTAGGTGTTTGACAGTTGGTTTGCCTTTGTGGTCAGAGCCTCTCTGAGAAGACACGAGTCATTTTCCTGAGCTGCCCACCTCTGAACGAGGAGATGCTTCGAAACTCAACCAGGTGAGAGATCAATTGTGTGGTGAATCCAGGCTTGTTGCAGTATAATATAACACATGGAACTGAACATATTATGTGTGCAGCAGTACTATACTGAGTGAGATCGTCCGGACCAACGAAACCTGCCGTCTGTACTCAGATGCCTGCGTAGCTCTGTGCAAGGAGATGAACCTGAAGGTGGTTGATCTCTGGCATGCCATGCAGAAGAGGGAGGACTGGATGACTGCATGCTTCACGTGAGTTGTTTGCTGTTTGTTCTTGTCGCCGGCCTGAATAAGAAGACAATAATTTTTGTGTTGCAGGGATGGGCTGCATCTGTCTGAAGAAGGGAGCAACATTGTGGTGGAAGAGATCCTGAAGGTGTTGAAAGAGGCAGAGTGGGAACCATGCCTGTACTGGAAGGCGATGCCGACCGAGTTTGCTGAGGACTCCCCCTTCGATCTTGTCTCCTCCAGCGGTGACGCCACCGTGAACCCGTCGGAGTGGACAATCCACAGGAAAATACCATGGGACTGACTTGTTTGTGGCCTTGATTTGACTCCATGGCTGGATGCATGCATGCATTTGTTCTGCCTTGATGGAATTGGAATGAATCATGATGCTCAAGAATAACAATGGAGGACTAGAGTTAAGGGAGCTGGTCAGGACCGGGACAATATGATACCATCATCTTATCTATTTGATCAGACCTCGCTCTCTCGAAGATTGATTGATTATTATTGTGTTTTCCCCATGATTATGGATGTGTTTGTATTGATGGCAAGGTTGGCTAGGATGCATCCATGTTTTCAGGGATATGGCCATTCAAGTTGTGTGTTTGATGATAGGATGAGCCATTTTTTGTTTGGTTAGATGCAATGAGAATACTTGACTAGCTATATCTCTTAACTATATAAAAATAATAACATAAGCTACTCTTCCTATTTAACCAGTAGACAGTTTACCGGAGGTAAAATAGGTGAAATTTGGTGATGTGGGCACCAAGTTCTCTCATGTTAATGAAACTATCAAACAGAAAATCCCTGATCACTAATCACCTTAAATTTTTCTAATGAAATTCTTGTCTCCAACCATCAAGACAAATGCTAAAATCCTCTGGGAAGCATATACGGATAGGCTGGGTAGTGGTAGATCTGAATTCCGCAACACCATCTTTGACCTTGAAAATCTTATTCAAGCAATCACTTATCTCAGTTTATTAGAGGTGCCTTTTACCAGTGAAGAATGTATTAGCATCTATAGTATCAGAGCATGTAAACAGAAAAAAAAATATCAATAGGGATGGTCCTCACGGGGGGAGATTTAACTTTTTACCATTATAAAAATCGGCATCTCCTGAGATCTCACTTTAACGGCTGGCAATACGAATTTGGCACGCAACGGAGAGAAGAAATACATAATTGCCACTTTTGCACTTGTGGCACGCCAGCGCGTCAGTCTAGGTCGGATCCGAGGCAGCATGGGGGCCGCACTCAGTTTTATTGCACTGGTTTTGATGGGATTGTATGTTAGGTTAGGGTTCCTACCAGTGATGGTGAAATTGTCCGCCTTCCTTGCTTCGTAGGCCGTTGATGTAGTGGCTTATGTTGCGGTGGAGATTGGAGACGCAATGGATTCGAGTGGTTGCCCTATTTGGTAAGTTAAACTTCAGTGCACTTCGTCCTCGCTTTGATTCTGGATAGGGAAGATGCTGTGTAGTAGGATACCGTCTAACAGTTTGATTTGTGTTTCTGTTCGTTATTGTGTCAGGATTGATCCTGGCAACGCTTTTAGATTAGTTGTTAATGTTTATAAGTATGTTGCTGATGGTGAGTATGGGCAAGTAGAAATGTCACCACAGGAGCATGAACTATGGCTGGATAGGACTGTGCAGTTTTCTCTATCTAAATTTCATGATGAAATGGCCAGTAAGATAATCTGGAGACCTTCACAAACATTGGATGTTTGGGTGGTTGACAGTGACAGTGAATCTGAATGGAAAGTTAGGAGGGATAAACATTTTGAGCGGCTAATAAAGGATAGATGGGATGATAGGGTAGTTGTGCTTGTAGTGGATGTAGTCAGCAAACATGCTCAAAGTGCCAATGCTAGCTCTGGTGTTAGGTGTGCATCTAGTGTCACTTTTGCATAAGGCAGTGCTGCTCCTGGTAATGCACAAGGCAGTGTTGCTCCTGGTAATGCACAAGGCAGTGCTGTTCCTGATAATGTTGAAGGCAGTGGTGACACCGGTAGCTCTCCACCTCCATCTGTGCCAGTGGAAGAAGCAGAAGAGGTTGATTGGGCTGAGTTGACTATAGTGGCAGAGCCTAATGAGGATGGAGAGGCCAAGGAAGTTGTTGATGAGGACAAAGTGTATGAGGCAATGGGTTTCAAAGCAACAGATGAAAGAGCAGAGGAAGCAGCTAGGGAAGCTGTGCCTATCCCTACCATGACAGCTGAGATGTAGAGTGATATGGCAGATGAAGCTGTGCCAGTTGATGATCATGTGGGTGAGGAGCCAATGTTTGATTGGGACAGGGATAATCCAGATATGTCTGTAGAGGTTTCTTACCCTTCTATGGATGATTTCAGATTAGCTGTGAGACAACATGTAATTGTCAAGGAGTTTGAGCTTCACACTGTACACTCTGATACGTCAAGGTTTAGGGGAAACTGTGCTTCTCTTGGATGTCCTTGGATTATTAGAGCTAGAACCCAACACGATAGGAGTGTCAGGGTATTTTTTATAGATTTGTTTTGTTTTATTTAAACTGTCTAGATGTTATATTTGTCTGGTTACTTATGTTTAGCTATTTTGTACATGTGTAGGTGTAAATAAATAAAGGGCAACATAGTTGTGCCTCTAGAAGCAGAGTGGTTGGCAGGATGGCCTCACAAGCTTGGGTGGCAGAGAGGGTTATTCCACTACTCAAGAAGAAGCCAAGCATGGGTCCAAAGGAAGTGCAGAAGGAGCTGCAGACCAAATACAAGATTGAGATTCCCTACCAAACTGTAATGTATGGCAGACAGAGAGCCACCAACAAGCTTTTTGATAAGTGGGATGACTCGTTTGATTGGTTGTATAGATTTAAGGTAGAGGTAGAGATGGGATCACCTAGTACCATAGTTAAGATAGCTACTGAAGAAGTTGATGGGAAGATTCATTTCAGCAGATTATTGTTGTTGTTTTAAGGCAACCATAGATGGTTTTAGAAATGGATGTAGACCATACATTAGTATAGACTCCACAAACCTTAATGGGCTGTGGAATGGCCACTTGCCCTCAGCCCAAGCATTAGATGGTCATAACTGGATGTATGCTTTAGCATTTGGATTGTTTGACTCAGAAACCAAGGAAAACTGGATCTGGTTCATGGACTGACGCGCTGACGTGCCACGAGTGCAAAAGTAGCAATTCTGTATCTCTTCTCTTCGTTGTGTGCCAAATTCATATTATTAGCCATTAAATTAAGGTCTCAGAAGGTTTCCATTCTTATGACGGTAAAAAGTTAAATCTCCCCTCACGGGTTAGCCGTGGTTACATCAGTAGCCCCAGAAATGAAGTATCCCTCAACGTGCGCGCCTTCTCTCGCTCCACGGTGGAGAGTCTCGGCGAAGACTGGGCGGCCAGCGTGCCTTCTCTTCCTCCATTACCCCCCAACGTGCGCGCTCTCTCTAGCTCCCTCTCCCTCTTGGGCCGCGAGGACCGGGCGGCCGTCACTGCCGAGTGCCCAGGTCTTGCCCTTCGTCGGCGAGGAGCACCACCAGGTACGCCCACCCTTGGCCCTCCCTTCCTGATGTGCGAAACTGAGCACCAAACCCTAATTCACCATTTGCATTTGGATCTGATCTAATTAAAATGTGTATGTGGAATTATGGATGCCTTATGCCCACTAAATTCGATTTGTTTTACAAAAATTATCGGGTGTACACCCTTTACTGGGTCCGCCCCTGACCCATACCTGTAGAGATGAAAGGTTTAGATAGAATAGCGAAAAATCTTACTGAGCTTTCTATTATGTTTGTTGAAATAAAGAACACGAGCTTGTGTACAAGCTTTTCAACTTCTTTTAGTAAGTAGCAACTGTTAGTTTTGAGATGAATTTTCCCTGAATGAACTGTGTGGAAAAGATAAAGGGGCGTACCCAGTGCAGAGAGCTCCCGCTCTGTGCGGGGTCTGGGGAAGGGTGTTAGTGGCAAGCCTTACCCTCGCCTGTGCAATGCGAGGAGACCGCGACTCGAACCCGGGACCTTCCGGTCAGAGGCGGTAAGACTCTACCGCTTGCACCAGGCCCGCCCTTCAATTGTGTGGAAAAGATAAGTTCAAGAAACAGAATGGAGAGTCAATGCTTGAACTATTGGTTGGCTGTTTTTATTGAACATGATTTTTTATGGAAATTAAGGACAGTGACATCATCAACGACAAACACTTCCAAGGCATAAAGGGGCTTTTTTTTTGAGAATGTTATTAGACTGTAATTTTATAATGTCTTGTGCTTTCTCTTAAATAGTTGAGAAATCTTTACTCTGAACAGTTTATACTTTAGTTGTTGACATGACTGGACTTTCCGCCTTTTGGATTGAACATTTTGTGCTCTGCCGCTCAGGAATACCCAAGTGCCATCGTGGGTTCAGGAGGAGGATGTACGGGAGGCGTGCATCGCAACTGCTGAAGGAGATCGACTCTTCTGAGGCTGGACAGCTCGCGCCATTCAACGTAATTGCCGCTTCTCTGTACTCACCTGCAGTTACTAGTTTGGAATCCTGCTTCTATCTCGTTTGTCTGTGACAAGCCGCAATTTTGTATGATCTGGTGTGTTCTGTGTTCGATGGGTGAAATTGAGTGTAGAGAACCTCTTGTATCCTCAGTGTATCCTCAGTCAAAAGTGTTACTTCTTTGGTAGCACCTCAAAAATCATAAACCGTCAGATCAAATATTGTTGGTTTGGCTGGCACATGTTCTTTCAGCGAGTGCCTTTTAAACTCTTCTCCCTTCTAAGCATGTTAGTTACTATGTGCTATCTAAATTTGGAAGATCATATGGGACCTGGTTTAATTATCCATCAAGTTTAAACCCTATCCATACCTATGAATTTAGATAAAAATGATTACTGCATGTTTCATTAATTCATAATCATATTTTTTACCATGTGTATTTAATATGGATGTAAACTATCATGTGTTATAAAATCTTAAGAACGAAACTAATGGTACCAGCTGCAATATTCTGTACTACTTTGTCATTATATAGTGCAGAAAACAAAGCTAAAAAGGTTGAAAATATTTATACTAATCATCCATTATCAGAAGCAATGTGATTTTGATAGCCGCAGTTCCTTTTAGTTTCTTTCCTACCTAACATGCAATCTCTGAAATGTGCAGAGTGACGTGTTTGATCAGGTGATTAGAGAGTGCAATGAGCACAATTCACAATTTCAATCATTGATCAGGTAAATTGTACCCTACTAGATTGTTGAGTTGTTGACCATCTTGATACAGAACTACCCTGATTAATAAGCATTTCCAATGCACAGTTTACTGACTAGACCTGTCTTATGACAGGAAAATGGTGGAACAAAACTTAGATATCGAGACAACTAGAAATGAGGATCACTATGGTGCAGCTATCCACCATCTTTCCCTGCTCCGTAACAAAAGATGCCTTATGGCTTACATGTACAAAACTAAAAGTTCACTGATGACCTAACTTTTTGTTTCTCTGTTTATGCTGATAGCACATGAAAATTGATTCTGTGTGTACTTTAGCTGAAAGAATTATATCCAAATAGGTACAACCGAGCAGAAGTTATTCAGAGTTTTAGATGGAAGGTTGGCCCTGTGCTTCCTCACGACATACAAGAAAAGCTCCATTTCTCAGAGAAAGAGTACTTCAAGAACCACTCTGCAGCCATTAAATCATACATTTCAGAGATGGATATAGATTTGACAGTGGTATGGAGTTTTTTCTATTTCTTATGCTTTCTTAGGGATGAATATCACTTATCAGACTTCTTATACCCTTTATTACAGGATATGGTTCCTCCCAAGGATACTTACATTCAGGTTCGGGTGCTGGAGGACATTGGCGAAGTATCTCTTGGTGACCATTCTGTGTCATTGACCAAGAACTCACTCCATTTCCTAAGGCGCACAGACGCTGAACAATTTATATCACAGGTTTGCTATCTGTTTCTTTGTGATGTCCTTCTATCACTCTCTCTTTTGGTAATAATATCATGCTGAACTTACTATAGGGTCTTATGGAAGAATTTCTGGAGTAGAGATCACATATGAATATACGATGCACAATAGGTATGACTCCTTGCGTTTTTATCTTACTTGAAATGTACTTTCAGTAGTGTTTTATAAGGGCCAAAGTTTACTTGTCTTAGATCAGTAAAGACATGATATTATGTGCATATGGCTGGTTCATTTGTCACAGCTAAGTGCATAGATATTCAGTTTAGGGTGTTTATAGATACCAACTTTGAAGCATTTGTTCTGTACTTGGACCTGCTTCTTAAACTATAAATGTGTGAACTGATTATCTTGCTTCTTGCATGATGTGCACTGCCTCTTTCCCTTCAGTGCTACTGCCTGATGGAATAGCACCTTTGTGATGCTTGAAGAGACTATTTGCAACAATGAAAGGACATATGTCATCCTGGTCTGAAGGGTACAGGGTACTTGATTTTCTGTACCAGGGAGCTTCTAACTAGTTGTCGGCGACTCGGGGATGATTTTTTGCTCTAGATGATTGAGTGAAGTTTATAATATCTCTGTTAGTGACAATTTTATTCAAGATATATTATTTTATAGTAGAACTTACAACTTTGTAAGTTGTACAAGCAGCCTTACTAAATCCATTGCCTCTGTTTACATGTGGATGACTTTTGGTCAGTGTGCCATCCAAGAAAGCAGATGTTGATAACATTTTAATTTGTGTATTAACATTTAGTTTTGCTCGACTTATAACTTAGTTTTCCTGTGTACTTCTTGCACTCAATGTGGTAAAATCACAGTTCTCTCAGACTTTGAATTGTAACTGGCTCGTGTCAGAAGCTACAACCTTTCCATCTTAGCCATGAAGCAAGATCAGTGCACTTCTTGCAGGAAAGTTCGTGTTTGCTAGATTTATGTAAACTCGTGCTTTTATTCCTGGGAACTTGCAGACCAGTATGGTTGTCTCAACAACAGTTGATATTAAGAGACTTTAGCTTTTGGACGAACTTAAATTTTGGGTTGTTGAGGGAAGATGTAGAGACTCTAGATTGAAGATTGCTAAATTTTGAGGTTAAAATTTAGAACCATACAGCAATTGTATTATGTCGTAGTACCTGCAAACTTTAAAATTTGAATTGCATCACTGCATGATGCTTATTGACCGCACCTTGGTTGAGAATGCAGTGCCCTTCCATTCTTTTTCTTCTTTCAAGCCTTCCTCGTTTTCTTCTTGTCTGATACATTTATATAAATGGTGCTTTGATGTGAAGTTATTAGAGGAAAGAAGGGCATTTTTTAAACAGGATTTCAGAACCTTGTTTTTGTTTAAACAGGATTCATCCAAAAAAGAAAGAAACTACCTGATGTGTCTTGTACTTCAGTACTGCTGGGATGAGTAGGCGAAAGATTTTCCCCTTTAGGACCAGTTCTTCCTGTAGTTTCATGTTATAGGTATATAGGTATATATGTATTCTGGTAGGCTACGGCCAAATTGTGGTGTCCATATTCTGACTAGTGTGACGAGTGACTATCGCAGACAGATTAGTGAATTCGAGGCAACCACCAATATTCAAGTGCCTTGGATTTGCCATGCAAGAACTACAACGATCTGTAAAAACAAAAACAAAATTATCCAGGAATACTGCTACATTCTGAAAAATGTTTTTCATGCGTGGAGCCAAAAGCTGTAGCCCAAACATGCCCACCACTTTCTGCATTTTCGTCAAGAATTTGCCTCTGCGTTTACAGTCTGGAGGCCTGGTCCTTGCCGTTGCCGGCAGTAGCAACCGAAGGGGGGAAAAAAAAGCTAAAAAGGGCTAGGCACAATAGTGTGCGAGGAATTTATTGCTAACCACGATTTCCACGCGGTCAGATGGGGACATCCGCAGATCGGCGTATGAACCCTGTTAAACTGATTTAAGCGGCCAATGTGGTCCAAAAGTTAAAAGGAAAAACAAAACAAAACTAGTAATCACGTTTAGGAGACAACCGTATCCTGGGAGGCTGGGACAAGCAGGAGACATGCGTTAGCCCAACAACGCAAAGCCCAGGCAGGCCAGCCCACCTTGCACTTGCAGGAAGCACGACATCCATCCAAAGATTTGAGAGGACAATGCACGGTAGGCCAGAGCACTAGCCAATTCTGGACGCGCGCGGCTTCGGAGGCCGGCCAGGCAGCCACCGGCCGCCCACCAACGTCGGGGTGCCATGCCATGCCAGTGCCACGGTACAGTACAAATACACCACCGCTGCCCGCTCCGGCAGCTCCACCCGGCCGGCCGACGCACCGACGCATTCCTTCCACCGTGCCACCCACCCTCCTCTCGCGGAGGAGGTACGGTGAGCACGAGCGGCACACATCCAGCCGGCCGAGGTGCGTGGCTAGTACGGGCTGAACAATGGCGGGCTCTGCGGTGGCCGTCGTCTTCCTGTCGGCCGTCGCGCTGCTCTGCCTGTACAACCACCTCCTCCTCTCCCTCTCCGACCCGGCATCCGTCGTCCCCGTCCCCGCCGCCGTCGTCCGCGCGCACCGCCGCTCCGGTGGCCACCGTGCCAACACCACTCCGTCCGGGTCCGGCAACATCGTCCTCCGCTTCGGCATGTCCGGGCAGCCGCTCCGCGTCCACGCCCACGCCCCCGCCCCCGCCCCTGGCAGCGGCCTCCCTGACATCGACACGTTCCGCGACAAGCTCGACCGGCTGCTGCCCGACTGGTCGCGCTTCGACGCCGAGCTCGGCCCCATGCACCGGTACTTCGGGCTGGACGGGCCGCTGGATGTGCGGCAGCGGCTCGCGTACCTGTTCGCGATCCTTGACCGGTCGCCCAGGGACGGCGGCGTCGGCGTCGGCGAGCTGGAGGCGTGGCTGCGCCGGCAGGCCGCCGCCCGGCTGGACGCCGTCACGCGGAGGGAGATGGCCCGACACGACATGGACGGCAACGGTGCCGTCACGCTGCGCGAGTTCTTTGCAGGTGAGTCATGGGTGCGTACTGATGCAGATGGAACAACATTACTAGGCCGAACGATACTTTTATTCCGTTTCTGCGTTTTTTCATATGAAATTTAATTGATTCGTGTTAAATTACTGCACGTTTTCTGTAAAATTCCTGCGTTCCAAACGGATATTAAGATTGGAGCAACATGGGACATGGCAAAATGGGGTGGTCGATGCACAAGTTTGCGAGCGCGGACAGAGACGGAGACGGCTCGCTCAACGCCGTCGAATTCAACGAGTATACACCATATACTTATACTATCTATATATACATATACATTCTGAACTTTTTTCCTTGTTTTTTTTTTGTAACGTAAATACGCTGACATGGCAGCTTCTTGCATCCTGAAGACAGCAGCCAAGAGAGTGTGATGCGGTGGCTACTGAAGGACAAGCTAAGGCACGATCGATGAGTGGTTTTGTAACACGTTAAAATAATAATTCCATGATATTTTGTGTGTTTTACTCTTGCGAGTGATAATATTTGTTCGGTTGGTTTGGGTGGAGAACAGTGAGATGGACCATGACGGAGATGGCAAATTAAGCTTGGAGGAGTTCGTCGGCCAATCTCACATGATTATTGCCCACATCTCCGGTGCACATCACGACGACGGTGGCCATGATCTTGAGCGTGCCGAAGCTGAAAAGAAGTTCAGAGAATTGGACGCCGACATGGACAAGTAAAACATTCTAATAACAATAATTTGACAAGATTATGAAATAGGAGTAGACGGAGCACGTAGTAGAGTTAACATTAGTCTTAAAAATCTCGTGCAAGATTTCATCATTTTTTCCTGCAATGTTCAGCTACTTGACGGTGGAAGAAGCACGCTCTGCACTGCAGAGCCTCATTACAGGGGAGTTCTCGTATGCTACTTCACATGCCAAGTTTTTGATGAAGGTGGTGGCCACACCAAATTATTAAACTAGCAACTAGATTTACTTTAATTTCCTTGTTTTTTTTTCTTAATTGCAACTATGCATATTGGCACAGGCTGATGTTAACCAAGACGGCAAATTATCGCTTGAGGAGATGCTAGATGACTACGTATCCTTCTACAGCACCGTTTATACGGATGATCATTACAGCAATGAAGTTGATAGTGATTCCCACGACGAGCTATGAGCAGTTAAGCCAGGACAGGACAGCGATGTGGAGGGAGGTTCTTTACTTTCTAATAGGAGTTCGCAGCCAAAAAGAAATGAAAAAAATGTACAGCAGACAATCAACTGCAAAGATCAATTTTGTTCATCGTGACCCACTGTCTGTTTTACGGTATTTTTCATTAAAAAAACTAAACATTCAAGGGCCTGTGTTTTAAAAAAAAAGGTTTTGGAACTGTCATCTCCAAGCCCATCTAGTATTAAGTCCCACACAAATACACAATGGAGGGCCAATACAAAGGCAACAACTAACAGGGTACAACAGGTTCACGAATTGCCAAAAAAAAAAAAAAAAACTGATGAACCATGTACGATTGGAGTTACTTTCACTAACAGTAACAGACCAGTGGTGTTCATCACAATTCTTCTGAGTAAAGCAATACATGTATCTCCCAGCACTAATACTGCAAGGATTTGACTTCTGACAACTGGTCTCGATGAGGTCGATAAAAACAACTCATCTGATTTCCCAACCTTCACAGAGGGCACCACGTACAGCAGATGTCGTGGCAAACAACTTGTCTAATTTCCCACACTTCAAACAGGACACTAGATACACCATATGTCCCCATAACGAAAGAGCACATGACCAAGTGCGGTATGGGCTTAGGATATTACAGCTAATGTAAGGTAGCATGTTTCTTGGCAGATGACACTTAGCATATCTGTATATTCGTGTTGTCAGTTTGCCTGGTTCATAAAAGACCAGCTCGAAGGGCACAAGTCCTGTGCTGTGTTACCATCCTCGTCCTTGATCTGAAGATTGACATGATGCTTGACGAGCAATTCTGCAATGTCTTCTCTTTCACAAACAGCAGCATAGTGGAGTGCTGTTTGCCCTTCATTGTCCTGAACATGGTAGAGACAGTTAAGTTCAGTTAATTAGGCTCATAAACCTAAATGACTCGAGAGATCATCGCATGCTGAACTACTGACAGCAAGCAAAGGGTCATAATGAGCATAGCCAACATGTTTTCTATTTAATATAGTTTACGATGCAAACAACCAAATACACTTTATTCAGCTATATGACTAGTTCAGCACCTATTGCTCCACGTTACTCATCAAATCAATCTGCCATGAATAGTAGAACACAATAAGTATACAATAATTCAAATTTACCTTAGCATTCAGATCTGCATTTGCTTTTGCAAGAACCTCAACAGCACTTAGATGGCCACGATCAACAGCCCAGTGCAACGGAGTTCTACCTTCAGTATCTGAAGATACCATATACCAAACCATGTTTGAATGAATTATGCTTATAAACATAACATAAGCATTAGATGGTTTATAGTTTGCAAACACAAACCTCTCACGTTGACTTCCACACCAGCTGCCAGAAGCTTCACTATGTCATCAGTTGCTCCTTCCCTCGCTGAAACATGGATGTCACCAAGTTCTCTGCATATACATTTAGGTTTCTTCCAATTACAAACAGTAGACCAAGTCCAAGGTAGGTAACATTTATAGCATACATAAACTTCTGAAGAAAACACCCATGAGGTAAACACCACTTACGAATCATTTCCTTCGTCTTCCTCATACATCAAACTGCTAAACACAGGTCCCATGGGCCCCTTTGAAGCTGATGCAGAAGCAATGTTATCTTCATCTTTCCTTTTCTGAAATTATTATGTCATGGATAAGCCAACACTGTCACGAGGATTGTTGTACAGACTGCAGCAAGAGTGAGGTCAATAAGGATCTACAGAACTTACAGCACTTGCACCTGCATCCCAGTTAGGGAATAGCTCCTGAACAATTGTGATGTACTCTTGCATAGCTTCTTCTGTAGGCATAGCACCCAGCTTATGCCAAGCATTCCTAAAATATCCAGATCACATACGGGCAATGTTAAACTGAAGTAAGTTTTTTTTTTTCAGAATTGACAAGCACAGGCAGAGAGTAAAGCCAACAACAGTGGTATGCTAATAATATTACTAAGTTAGCTGTAAGCAGACGATCCGTGACTTCAAGTGCTTGCTAATACTCAAAGTCTCGAAACACAAAATAGAATCTGCACACTGAAAAACCTAAGCACGGCAGAGTTATGCAGCATGATGACACTCTTGGACACAAAGCAAGGACACAGGATCAAAGTCATTTTATGCTCAGGCAACACTAGCACGAATGATCAGTGTACAAACAGGCTCAATAGTTAACAATCAGGATCAATAGTTAACATCTAGGACTAAATTATGCGTGACACACAAGCATCATATATTATGTTTACTTCCCATGGGCCATGCCACTGATCTGAAGTCATTCTAAACTAATTTTGAACCGAAGCCAATAAACATAGATAGAAAAAACCGCACGGAATTCAAATTCAAATTCAAATCAGCAGAATGTAGCACGAGAAAGAGGGGATGGGTTGGAATCTTACCATTTGGCACGGGCCTTGAGCTTGAGCGCGGACGGCTGCGGCGCGGTGCAGGGCCCCTCGGTGGCGATCTTGTAGAGGCCGTAGAGGCGCAGCTGCGCTTCCTCGGGGACGCTGGTGCCGGAGGCGGCGGAGGCCGCGACGAAGGCGGAGGCGGCGCTGAACTCCTCGTCGAGCTCGGTGCTCTCCACGCCCTCCCAGTCGCTGTCGCTGCCGCTTCCGCCGTCGGTGGAGCCGTCGTGGGAGGGGAGGGGAGGCGCCGCGAGGACCGGGGCGGCGGCGGCGGAGGCGGTGGGGGAGGACGGAGGGGAGCGCGTGATGCGGAGGTTGTCCTCCTTGAAGGCGATCACGGTGGAGATGAGCTTGGCGACCAGGAAGGCAAAGAGGAGGCCGATGACCGCCGCTTGGCCCAGCTCCTGCCAGTCTCCGACCATGGCGAGGCGGTGACCTAGATGCGGCGGTGCGGTGACTTGGGCGGAGTTGGGGGTGGAGACTGGGGAACTCCGAAACTGGAAGTGGTAGCCTGGTAGGGCCCGTGGGGCAGGAAGAAGGATGAGACAGTAAAAGAGGTCGACGCCAGGGACCAAAACGTTAAATGGCTCGTAGCGTACCGGCGGTGACCCAGAACGGATCGTGGATTCGATGAACGTACCAGGCTTGGCCCATCTAGCTGCTACCTTTGTTGGCCCAGCAAAGCACCACGTTTTCCCTTTGTTTCACACAGTGCGGCATGCGGAACCGTCCATGCTCAATCCAACGGGGGGGAAGCGCGAGGCGTCTTGGTTTCGACTAGAGGCGCTGAGTTTAGTCCCACCTCGGCGCCGGAACCAGGTAAGGGCGAGCTAGGCGCCTATATAAGGAAGCCCCGGGCCGCCGTTGCTACATACTTACCTGGACGGGGTCGATGGGCGATCATGAAGGCCCATGGCCCATGGCCTAGATCAGTGGCCCACATTGCACTAGGTGGGTGCGCTGTGGCAGAGGGGGTACGCGTTCGCGCGGCCCCTGCCAATTCTAAGAAATTAAATTTGGCTCCCTGGCCTGCATTATGATCCTGGGCCTGTATTCGTTTGATTTCCATTCTACGGTCATGGGCCTCAAAGGCCCGTCAGTAACGTCGTGTAGTCTAGCCGCCTTACTCCCGTCTCGCTTCCGCGCCCCCTTTGCCGTTTCTGCTCAAAGAGGGTTTCGTGGCCGACTGGCCAAGTTCATCAGGCCGTTTCTGGTCAAAGTCCCAAAATTTAGGCTGCCGTCATCAACAGTAAGGAAGAAGAACAGTAGCGGATAGTGTATCATCAGACAACTTAGTGTATCAAATTTGTGATGCTGGACAACTTAAAAGGATTAGATGCCTTTAACACTAGATTAGATATATGCATCATGAAGCTGATGAACTGTAAACTGACGAACAACTCTTCAACTGTGAACACTGGTGTGAAGGTGTGGTACAATTATTGCCATTTCTCTAAAGCTATAATTGTCTGTTTCGTATTCCATTTTGATCTGATCGCATCGAATTTTACTTTTTTTTCATTCCAGTTGGCATCAGTTCGATCACTGAGGTTTACTATTGCAACATGGTTTTGATTTCATATACTTTACAGTCTCAACACTCGTACACCAGACGATCTAAGCCAGGCTTGCCCAATTCAAAATTAATTTCTATATATATGCATAAAACTGTTGGTCTCAGTTGAGCAACCAAATGAAACTGGATGCGCTGTTAGCCTCAGTTGAGCAACCAATGAAACTGGATACGGATCTGGACAGGGCAAAGGAGTTCTAGCATTCACTTCAGAACCACTAATACCATGACAGACAAAGCAACAAAATGCATTTCAAGCTCGCATGCTCTGTCAACAGATTATGGTGCAACTGAAATAAATAAAAACAAAGGCTACAACATGGAGGTAAAGTATAACGAGCAATAGTCGTCAATCCCAACAAAAAACAGTAGGGCCTTTTTCTGCCACACAACCAATACTAAACTGTAGACATAACAAAAGATACGTAGAGAGAAAAATCAACTTATAATTTGGAACAGATGGGGTAAGAGATAAGAGATCACAACTGTAGCTATATTAAAACATTAAAAGGGTCTAAGCTAGCGCATCTTTATTATAGCATTAAATAAAGCGTATAACATAATTGCAATTCTCTAGATCTTTACTAAAAGAACGAAACGGCAGGGAATTTCTCAGATCTATGGACTATGGAGCAGCTGCTTAATGTTCACTTTTCATGTCCAGGACAGGTTATATACCACATACCATACACTTCACACAATCTCTCGACCACAGTAAGACAAGTAGCTGCAGGAAGGATTACATTTTCAATCTAGTATGCTCTAGAGGCGATTACATATAGCATTCCTTGTGCCAGATGGCTAATAAGATGCCCAGTCATTCTTGAATTGAATAACCCAAAGAACATCTGGTATCAACAAACAAGACCTGGGGAAAACACTGCTTTATCCAAGCAAGCAAGCTGCAGGCACTATGGGTAAGCCACATGAATCAGGAAAAGAGCAACAAGCTACTTGTTGTCAAGGGTGTTGGCGCCCAAGGTAGCAGGACCCCAGCTACGAAGCTCATAGCCTGGATCGGTAATGGCGCGGGGTTTATCCCGAGCGCCCAATTGTGAGGGAGGTGAGATTGAGAGAGAGGAGGCGGGAGATTAGGAAATTGGTTGTTATTGCTTGATCCCAAATGAGGACTGGTACACGCCTACTAAACAAAAGGAAACAAACTCCTTAAATCCCTTATTTCTTGCCCTCTTTAATTGCCTTCTTGCTGTTCCCTGGAATGTTGCTGTTGCTGGCGCCACCTAGGTGTCTGCGGCCCTGGTCCTGCGCTCCCTGTGGGAGTAATGGCGGCCCCACATGACTCTTGTTCTGTAAGATACTGACGACATCTTGAATGTCTTCAGCACGTGCAGTAAAACCTGCTAGATAAGTTATTGGTCAATGGCATATAAAATACATGGCGTATACGGGAGAACTGGAGGAAAAGCGGGGAGCTGTGACAGTACTCTTATCCAGTGTTTGTCGCTTGTTGTCTGTCAAACTGTTCGTGTTCCAAACCTGTTGATCTACCAAACACGTGGTCGCAGTCCTTTTCTTGCTCATATCTATTATTTTCTGCTGCAATACCGGTATTGCCTTCACAAGACCTGCAGGTTCAGTACAGTTGAATAGGCATACTTTCTGATCAGGTAACTAGATTGACTGCAGGTAGAATTGATAAATGGGTAGAAGCTTTATCTAGATTAAGGCTCCATATGAGCTTTTTTTATTTATGTCACACATTCCATAACAATATTGAGGTTTACATGAAATAAAAGACTAAAGGACATCAAATGAAAAGAAGTGACAGAATCAACAAAAAAATTTACCACTTTTCTTGCTAAAGCTAACAAATGGGAGCAGAAAACTGCACTGGCTTTTTTCCCACGATGTAAAACTCATTCCAGTTTGCAGTGTGCAAATATTTAACGTTTTGGAGAATGACAGGCTCCAAAGCACATCTTTGACCACTATTTTCTATTAGAACATAAAAGAACATCCTAACAAATTTATGCTATTATGAAAGTACTTCCAAGACAAATCTATGCACTTTTTTTTTTGAAAACGCAGGAGAGCTGCGTTTCATTGTATTATAGAGATGAAAAAAGGGGGGGTCCCCAACAGGATCCTCACTCGTACGGGGACCAAATATTAAAAAATCAAAGTTTCTAAACTAAATCTATGCATATGATAAGTTTCTAAACTAAAAACTTTAAAAGTTAACTATAATCAAAGTTTTAAAAGTTGAACCCACGCTAGCATTAAAGAATTGCAATGTGGTATCAGATTGTCAAACAAGGCATGACAGCAAATCTTTAACACAAAGGCCTAAGGTTGTCATAACACAACATCATTTCACCAAGGTCCAGAACTAGTAATGATAAACAATTGAGCAGCTTGGAGCTCTGATCAGGTTGGTAAAACAGTTAATTCCTTAATTCCTTGCTGTAAGGAAAACCAATAATATCACTTGCCATCAAACATTAAAATTGTAGCATTGGTGTCAATATTAAAACTGTAGCACTGGTGAACCACATAATCATGTTCAACTTTCATCAGAAATACTGGACAGAAGACAACTGATAAATTTAATCAGACTTGATCAGATGATGTACCCTTCTCAGCATCCCTTTTTTTTGTATTCAACTACTAAATAGTGTATACTATGGCGTACCTTCAAAATTTTCCTGCACGGATTTGTCTTCAAACAACTTTTGTATCTCAGAGACAGAAGAATCAAGTTTTCCTTTGTATGTAGTTTGCCTTTCCAATGACGACATCTCTCTTTCAAGATTTTGAGACTCCATGTTAGCCTGGTGAAAAGTAAGAAACACTGGCAATTGTTAGAGAAATCTAGAAATATTATAAGCCGATTCATTACAACTAAGGTGCTTACACTTTCAAGCTTTCTCCTTAAGGAGTCAAGTTCCAAATCCAAATCTGAAGTCTCATCTTTGTGTGATTCTTTTGCACAAGAATTATCCTGAAAAAAAATATTATATACAAAGTCATTTACATTACGATAACATGTGAGGTGAGGGAATGAAGAAAATGTGAAATAGAGCATCACTACATTGATTAACAAAAGGCACGCAGGTTTATTACTTACTGCAAGCAACAACAAAAATCAAGCTTAACCGATGTTGCATATAGATTGGTAATTTTTAAGATCAGTGTGAATAATGGTATTACAATTATGGCATTCACCGGAAAGGCCAGAAACACTGGTTTCAACAACATCAAACTGGCAAGCCTGTAAGAAAACTAATCCAGCAGTTTAGAAGATGCTCTAACCAATATTGAATCCACAACCTTGTCATTTTTATGACTGCAAAAGAGTGTGTGGGCATCTGTAATTAAAAGTATACTGTTTACATCAATAAATAAGCATCAGATTTCTAAATTATGAACCTTCATGAACACAAATAAAACTTTTCCACAGTGTGAATGTAACTTAAGCAGGCTGGAGTCAAATCTTTAACGTTAGGATAAGGTGCGTACATCTTCAGCGGCCACAAAACCTTTGGGCACATCGAAGCAATGCAGTAAGCAGAATTTCTCCCAGTTGGCCATTCTCTTATCCAGTCGATCCTTTACGATATGGTGAATAGCATTTAATCCCTACAGAGAAAACATAGAGATACTTCTACTTATCATAACGGTCCCGCTGGTCCAAAAAAAAAAGACGAAACAGGAATTTGCAGCATAATAAATGTTATGAGACGCCTTTTAGAAGAGAAGATGTGATAATAAATGGCAGCATAAGTTAAACAAATTAACTGCCAAATGTACTAAAACATGTTATGGAGCTTGCAATACACAAGCACAACTAAAGCATTCGAAGCACCCAAGCATCTAAGTGCAATGCTATGGTTGGAAGCTTAGTCCACTGTAGATCCCAATGCACACAATGAAGTCATGCATTTCAGTCCTCTGTTTTTTCACGGTAAAGCTCTGCAAACAAGCAGAAACAGAAATGTGCAAAGCACTTAGCGAATCAGCTAATGGTCTCCACACCACTACATAAAGAACATCCAGGGAACCTGATGACATGCGGGAGGAATATGAATTCAGGTGCAGTGCAGAACAACTTTCATGTTTCGTTTTAACCGTATTCTGGAACTTCATTCAGTATCCATGTATACTTAAAATCTGGTGGAGAAGAAATTTATCGTGTCTCAGGGCATCAGCGCACACCAAGTACTGAGATATTTGACACAGTTTAACGTTCCCAAATGATTAGCTGGATGGAATTAACTAGCAAGGAACATGAATTAAACAAGGGCAGACAACCAACTATCCATTCCATCCCCATATCCAAATCCAACCCACGAATTGAGCAGTATTGAATCATGATGCGGGGATCCGTCGCTTACCCGCTGGAGATCAGTGGCCTTCTCTGCAGCCTTGGCGGCGCCGAGGACCCCTGGTGCGGCCGCTGCCCTGGAGAAGAAAAGCGACGGAAAAATGGGAAAGTTAACAAACCTAGATGAGGGGAGAGAAATCGGCTAAACAGAACACACGCACAAAAAGATACGGAGGGAACGTAACTGGAGGCAGTACTCGAAGGCCCCGGCGCTGATGTCGGCAATGATGCCGTGGACCTCGTCGACGAAAAGCTGCGGGTTCAGCCCCAGTGCCGCCTCCGCCACCGCGCTCTCGTCGCCGTCTTCCATCGCCCCGCTTCTTCTTCTTCCGAGTCTTCTGAGCTATTGGATTGTGGGGGGCCGCGGCAGATCTGAGTGCCGACTGCCGGGTGGGGAATGGGGATGGCCCGTCGCCTTGTCGGACGCCGGCACCCGGTCGACGGGTCGAGGGTTTTCAAATTTTGCGCTTGGCCAGTGTTTGCTCTTTGAGAAACTGGTGTGTTCTAGGCTCTGTTTGGAGGCGGACTGGCGGAGGGAGGCCCACCACATGGAATGGAACTGTGGTTTCGATATATATGCATAATTTTTTTTTACTACTCCCTTCGTCGAGAAAAAAACCTAATTCTAGCTTTAAACCTGAACAAGATGGACGGAGGGAGTACAAGTTATGTTTATATAATTTTTTGTTTGCTTGTATAATTTTTTGCTCACAGATTCGGAGTAAAAAAATTTATGTTTATATAATTTTCTGGTGATTGTTTACGTGAATATTGTCGGCTTGAATAATTTATTCTTGTAAAATTATGTGCATGATAATTTGGTTTACCCAAGTTATGTGAACATCTTTTTGCATACATAATTCCTTTTCACAACCTATGTGCATATTCTTTTTGTTTTTACAAGTTATGTAAACAATTTATGTGTATAATTTTTTGTTTTACAAGTTACATGTATAACTTATGTGCTTGTATAGTTTTTTGCTCACAGATTTGGAGACAAATTTATGTTTTTATATAAATTTTCTATAATTTTTTATGTGAATATTTTCGTCTTGCACAAATTTTTCGTAAAATTACGTGCATGATAATTCGGTTTACCTAAGTTATGCGAACATCTTTTTGCATGCACAATTCCTTTTCACAACCTATGTGCATTTTTTTTGTTTTTTACAAGTTATGTAAACAATTTATGTGCATATTTTTTGTTTCTAAAAGTTATGTGTATAACTTATGTACTTGTATAATTTTCAGCTCACAAGTCAAATTTTGTATTTATATATTTTTTCTAATTAAATTCGTTGCGAGCGTGGGAAGCGCATGTAAACTCTAAAGTGGTTAAGAAGCACAAAAAAATAGGCCTCCACGTCCATGCGTCCCTTGGCCGCTTGACCTCAACATGCTCATTGACGAAACCAGAAGTGGACAGTTCGCAGCGACATCTAAAGACAAGAAAGCGTATATACGGCTTGGCGCTTATTGTGGTGGCCACGATATCAAACGAGATCTTTGGCCGTTGGATGCTGCTTGATGGTGTGATCGCCTTCATCGAGCGGGCGCAATCGGTGTCCCGGTCGAGGCTGCCGCACATTTCCTTCCGGTCGTCCGCTCCTCCCTACCTGCGCGCCGCCGCTTTCGCGCCACCGGCCGCACCTCCCCTTCTTCCCTCTCTCCCGGCGTGGCGGTGCACCGGTTGGCCCCTGCGTAGCCACCTCGGCGCCCAGCAAGCGTCGGCGGGCGCGGCGCCCGGTGTCTTGGCTGGCTACCCGGACAACCCGGCGGTGGTTGCCTCCCTAGCACTGGCAGTGCCAACGAGGCGGCGAGAGAGAGGCCCGCCGTTGGTCGTGTGGTCGCCGCCTCCCCGCCGTGGCCGGCTCCCGGAGAGGTCTCGCCCTAGGCGTGTGCTGTCTTTGGAGCAAACCCTAGTCTGGCGCCATCTTAGTGGCGCGCGACGAAAACCAGTGATAGCCTCTCTCCCTTCTTCGTCCTCCCCTTCCCTCGTCGGCGTCGGGGATGGCCGTTCATCTGCTCTTGCCACACCCCTAGGGTAGATATGTTTGCTCATGGAGCACTATCTAGACTTGCTCGCTCCGCCTAACTTGCTCCGCCACTCCATGTCGAGTTGTTGCTGCAGCACAGAACCTCCCTGTTGCCTCCACATCAAGCTGCGATGGTGGCGACTCTGAAGATTGGGAGGAGAAGTTCTTCCCGACGTCACCAAAATCGAGTATGAGGTCAGGCCATGAACGAAAATAAAAACTCAGGTTCTTCAATTAGATTGAGGTTGTGATGCCGTGGTGACAACCTGCTTTAATTTGAGGTAGCTAAATTTTTAGCTTTTATTGCCAGCCAAATTTTTTCTGAAATGGTCGTTGTTTGAAAATGCTATCCTATGTGTCAAATGGCATGCGGCCCCAGGCCCAACCATGAGATAGTAATTTCCCAATATGGGTCTTTGCTGTGGTTAGTGTGGTATTGAGTTAACTACAACTTCTGTAATGTGCTTAGCATAATTGGCCCAGCATAAATAGATAATCCTATTTCATGCTCCTAAAATTATAGTTTGTTTTATACCATCTTCATGCCATTTGGTTGCATGTCCCTTGTCCCTATGTTTTACACAGCTACAAATACATTTGTTAAAGTAGAATAACTAAAGTAGTTGTTCATCGTGGATCCATCTGCATAGCTCTTGTTCTTTGTTATTGTGCTTTTGGCCAGAACTCAAATACTTGAATTTGAATCAAAATTCTTAAGAATCATTTTCATCTGCCTAGAGTTAAAATGTTCTGCGGGTGTGTGGATGAACTTGAGAGCCAACTCTCCAAACACGGAAGCCTTACAAAACTCTACTTTTATCATCGGTATCTTACCACAGTAAGTTTATATTGTTGTGTGATTCTCATGGTCCTTTAAATCTTTTTTAAGTATCTAGACTTTTATGCTGATAATAAGTCATTTCTTTTTTCCTAGGACCCACAAATCTTTCCGAAATAAAATGTTTGGCCTCGAAGGTCGTCGACAGCATTGTTGTGCTTGGCTTGGAGCAGTTTCAGATTTTCGAATGTGCTGCCTGCAGTTATTCCTGAACATGTGTATATTTGAATTCACTATATGATTTCAGTTTGAGCATTATTTTGAGGTTTACAGCATTCTCAAGATTTTTTTTTGCAACGTGGCGTTTTGAGGATTAGTAAAATATTATAAGGTGCCACATGAGCTATTAATTTTTGCTCGGCAAGATGGACAGTTGCTATGCTTGATCTGTCGAGCAAGACGCAAGCCAACTGCCTATGCCTTGGGATTTGAAGGCTTTGAACTGCCATTGACATAATAATCCTATATGCTCCAACAGTACGCCTCTTACTATGACATAACAATATGTCTCCAGTCTGTTACTCAGATTCCTCCTCTATAGGGTTATATTTCTATTCTGTGTTTGGCATATTAATTAGTAAATCTTTCTTTGTTTTAAATGTAGGTTAACAAAATTTACAGACATACTATCTCTTATGTGGAGTCCCTTATTGAGTCTATTATGGGTGGATTAGAAGGTTTGATAAATATTCTAGATTCAAAAGGTGCGTGGTAAGCACGTTGTGCTTCTCGTCATGTTAGTGCTTATTTTTAGGTTCGTCTTCGCATCCTGTTACAGTGTTACGCATTGCTTCCGTTTGACCTTGCTTGGCCCTAGCACCTGAAGATTAATTAATTGAGTGACTTTGTGATGTTCAGTTTCCTTACATGCCACACATGCTAAAAGACAGGACAACAATATTAGAAGTATGCAGCTTGAATACATTTTCTTATATTTAAAATTATTTGATGATATTTAAATTATTGGCTGATATTTTATTTTGCCTTTGTGTTGTCTTAGTTCATCGATCTAAAACCTAGACAACCTGCTCATGCTCTTTAGTGAATACTGATGTGTTTATAGTTTAAAAATCGAATTTGCAAACAACTGAACAGATTTGCAAACAACTGAACAAATTTGTTATTTGGCTTCAAATTGAAAAGTGCAATCTTCCTAAAATAATCACATTTGCTCCGACAGTGTTTCTTCATGTACCTCTTACACCATTTAATTCCAGATTGGGCGTGTTTAGGAAAATAAATAAACCCAGAACCTATATGTTTATCGATGAAACAACCTTCGAGGTAGATCTTTACACTGTCCTCTTATGATCTACCTACTTTACATTGATTACATTAACTTCAGTGCAGACATCTGCTTAATTTTTTCAAAAGAATGGCTTCTGGAACTTGCAGGAAATTAAATTTTAGGTGTTTTAGATGTGTTCTTAGTTTCAATAGCAGGTAAAAGGTTTAATGCATCTGAAACATCTTCATAATATCCCATGCATTCCAGGTCCTCTTTGTATTGGTTGGTCTTCATATATAGAGTAACAAACTGCATAATTATGTTCGGCATATTTTCAGTTTAGCAGGCTGCTACATCAAAATAAAACTACCTTGTCCATTGCTAAGACAATCTGCCAATTTTTCCTATGTATGCCATTTACCATTGCTAAGCCATGAATTATTGCATTTAGATGTGCAGCTGCTCCATCCAGTTTTTATGGTAGATTGCTACGAAATTGAGATACCTGAACGATGAGTTGCCTTTACTGTGGCACACACAAGCGGACGCAGCAAGTGCAATGGTGGCGCAGGACAGCCGAGTGGATAATGTGGCCGTGTGGCACGCTACCACCAAGCGCATATTGCATCAGGCATGCAGGCGTGCAGACTGCCCTCACTCACCGCACGATCTAACAGCCCAGTGCTCAGTGACAGTACCAAGCAGCAAATAGTAGGAGTTCTAATTCATGGCTGATGCAAGCAAACAAAGGTAATAATTGTAGCTCCTGTTTTCTCAATTATTGTTTTCTTTCTTATGTGTTTTCAATGATTATGATCAATGGTTTAGTTCAATATTTTTCAAATACCCTTTGTGTTTTAATCATGTTCAGGTAAAAAACTTCTCGCATGTTTTCCAGACAGGTTTAGGTAGTGACCACCTGTGCTAATCATTTTTTTTGTCTGCATATGTTTCTCCATAAAATTTCTTTTAACTAGCCAACTACATTTATAGCAAACATTTGAAACGTTCGATGCATTTGCAAGAAATAAAGCTTCTGTGTCTTGCGATGTTATGCCTTTTAACGTCAGTTTGATTGGTGCAACACAAAAAGGGTAATGCCAAACATGGATCTGCAAGGTTTGAATTATTAACTGTCCACTTTCCATTTTTTTCATGCTTTACAAGGTTTCAAATATTAACGGATCAATTTATAATTTAATTTTTCT